GGATTTAAGCATATTGGTTCAAGTTATAGAAAATAGAGTTAATTAGGGAAGGGAGAGAGATTACCCTATTGGGAGACTTTTGAGCATGAGCGAGAAGAATATAATAGTAATCAGTGGCAAAAATGCTCCCAATAAACATATGAGAAGGACTTGTATTTGGGCATCAATGCCACCTCCAACAGTTACAACAAGTACCCCATCTTTCCTAGGTGTTTGAGGGCATACACCAACCAACACTGAAGGAATGAAATCAAAATGAGTGCCATCTAATCTTAAGAATGCATAAATCATTAGATACAAAACATTAAAACTCAATGTTGTTTCCAATCTAGAAATCTATCAAACATCATATAATAAGAAAGTGGAACATCATATAAAGACATTACAAACCATTTGAATATCTTTTCTAAGCGGATCCAACTGTGCCATTTTCTTCATTCATATCATCCAAAATTGACACATGAGTTAGACACAACCAAATATGGAATCTCGGAAGGTAATTATTAGAATTAATTAGTGTATATATTGTACCAAATCTCTTCAACATGTGCTAAATATAACTTTTGGGTGTCATGCATCTTCAAAAGGCAAATAGTCTTTCTCCACATTGACAGGTCATTTTGTTAGACTCTAATTTGGAAGGAACAACATTTCCATGACTCCTTTCTTCCAAACGTTGCTTGCAAAATTCAATGAAAGTGGAAAATGGGAGCGGAGCCTAGAAAAGATAAATGTAGTCATTAGAATCCAACTTGAAGATGCTTAAGGTCGCCATTGTACAAATTTTAATCCTATAAAGCTATTCAGTCCTTGACGCATGCCATCCAAGAAGAACCTTCGAAGTCGGAAACCATAAGAAACAGAACCTAATGCAATGCAAATATGCAATTACCTAAGAATCAAAATCAGTGAATGAACGATTTCGGAGAGCTTTGGAAGTCGCCATTGCTCCAGAAATCGTTGGAGGTCACCACTGATTTGTGTAATCATCGCTCGCTTGCTATTGA